ATAAAAAATACAGCACACTATAACACTATATCTTCTTTTATGAGGGATGTAGCTTAAAATACCTTAATAGTACTTTAAAGTACCTTAATTTTCTCAATTTACAGAAATCTCTGTGAAAAAACCATGAAAGTAAATCAAATGTTTTAAATGAAAGCAAAAAAAATGTAGTAAATCTGTGAATAACGGCTATATGCACTGCACTTTTGGTAGGAAACACGATTTTAAGAAAATGTCAATGACAGCAAATAAAACACATTTAATAAAGCAAAGTGGTAGCTAGTTAAACGCCGATGTTTAACTTTATAAACAACAACGTGCTTCCGACTGCGGTGTTGTTTGCGACGACTCTTTCTGATTTATGTCGTTTATTTTTATTTTAATGGTCTAGATATTTTCATTTTAACCTACCAGTCGGAAAGGTATTTTTGACGTGCAAAAAAGATTACGTTTTAAGTCCACCAGAGGGCGCTAAAACACCATTGCAGAAAAATGTTTTAGAATGAATTTAAGTTTGGTCATTTTGCTTTAAAAAGAGTTTATAATGAACTGCTACAATTTTTGAATAATTGAAAATAAATAAATAAATGATTTTCTTTACCTTGATTCTACTTGTTTACAGGCGGACAATTCTAAAAAAAAAAAAAAGTGCTGAAAATATAGGTTAATTTGATTGGGTGATCATTTTTAAAGAAGGGAGAAAAAACATTAAAAATATGTAATGTGAATAATGATAATACTAATTGTCAAAGTAGTTTAGAAATAAACTGAAATGTTTGTAGATAATACATTTTGTGAGTATTTGGATCATCCAGCAATAGGGATTTGTCCCTAACAAAACAAGTCATAAAAATATTACCTGAGAGTAATAGGTTGAGAATTCTGAGAAAAAATGCGTAATCAAAAACAAAAATGCATATCAAAACAAAACTGATGTACTTAATATCTTCTGGACGAATCACACAGCTTCAGTTAATGTTAATACATCTAGTGATGTACTCGGACCTTAATCTTCAAAGACACATAAAGACAGTAACAAAGTCAGCTTCTATCACCTAAAGAACATCTCCAGGATTTAGTCTAATATTTGTTTTACTTTGTTTTGAACATCTTTGGTAGAGTTAATAACGGTAACAGTGTCTTCACATGTCTGACTGTAAGGTCAATCAGCCAGTTGCAGTTGATCTAGGATGCTGCTGCCTCACCAAAACTAAGAAAGAGGAGCAAATCATCTGAATTGTAAAAGTCCTTAAGCTGGCTCCCATCTCACTGAAAATACATGAGAACACTTCTGTTAATCTATAAATATATTACAGACTTGCTGTCACTGTATCAACCACACAGACCTCTTTGGTATTCTGGCAGTAAGCTACACTGCATACCCAGAACCAAACATGGAGAAGCTGCATTTAGTTCTTATTTTCCTCCAATTTGGAATAAATTCCCAGAAACTGTGCAACTGATGAAACCCTATTTTGCTTTAAATCAGGAATTAAAAACATTTTTGTTTAGAGGGACCTTTGACAGCGCTATCTAGATATCATTAGTTTTTCAGTCAAGCATTCCTTTAATCTTTTTACTTTTAGTATTCATTTTTTCTCATTGTAATTATACGTTTTAATACCTTTAATTAGTTGTGTTGCCTTTATGCCACTGTGATGCAATTTTCTTTTTTATGTGCAGCACTTTGAATTATTGTCCTACTAAAATGGACTATATAAATAAACTTGCTGTCAGCAGTCAATAGGGCCTCACCAAACTTGGGTAAACCACTATCTGTCTCCTCTGTACAGAGCCGCCCCTTTAAAGCTAGATAAGCCAAGAAACACATTTTAAGGGCAACAACCTTTACAACATCAGAAAATTAAGTGCAATCCTCTGATAAGGAATGAATAAAAAAAAAAAGCTCTAGGAGTCAAATCAGTACCATGGTACTGTCCTTGATAGGAGACTAAAGATTTATCGCCAGTTAATTTAGGGCAGAATCACTTTATTACATCTTGCTATCTGCTTTTCTGTGTTTGGTTTGAAATAAAATAATGATTATTGAAATTAGAGGTATCTTATGAAAAATTTTTATTTTATAAATACATGTTTTTGGTGCAGAACAATGCAATCAGTATCTATTTAAAGTCCTCAAAAAATTAGAGACACTTAACTAATTTAGAATACTTTATACTGTTTTAAAAATAATTATATTATTTAAATTCCATATTTATGTTACAGTGAATCTAAAAGAAGTCATGTTTGTTGTTGTCTGAGGCTTTAACTTAAAAGATTACTGCATGTGCTTTAGAGACACCATGTAAATTATGTTCATACCTTATCTCATCTAGACTGAAACACATCACTTGGAAGGCATCCAAACAGAGATATCTTGGAGTTGTCTCTGCCATGCCCATACCTCTTTTTGTGTAGTATAAAAACCCCCCACTACGTGTTCCTGATCGAGGCATTCAAACCTGAACACTCAACCAAGAAGATGAGTCTCAGCGCCAAGGACAAGGACGTAGTCAAGGCCTTCTGGGCTAAAGTGGCACCTAAGGCTGATGACATCGGCCAAGATGCTCTGTCCAGGTACAGATACCCTGATATATATGTATAAAAATTTTTTTTTTAAAAGTTTTATGAGCTCACATAAGAATTACAAGTCCTTATTTCCGTTCAGGATGCTGGTGGTTTACCCACAGACCAAGACCTACTTCGCCCACTGGAAGGACCTGAGCCCTGGCTCTGCCCCAGTGAAGAAGCACGGAGCAACAGTGATGGGTGGAGTTGCTGATGCTGTGGGCAAAATCGATGACCTGACTGCAGGTCTCCTGGACCTCAGTGAGCTGCATGCCTTCACTCTCAGAGTGGATCCTGCCAACTTCAAGGTACAGTGGGTGACCAACACTTAGGGGCGTTTCTGTAAAAACATTCTGGGTGCAATGGTGCTTTTTAGAATTAACTTTTCACTCTCCTCTGATACTAAAATTTGCAAGTTCTATGGGTAATTTTGCTATTTTGCTATCATGGGTGTGAAAGAGGAGAAAGTCCTTTCAAATGGGTACAATGATTTGGCACAATAACTTCAATAAAAACTATCTAAGTTATAGATTGAACCATTGCATTTCCATGCAACAATTCAACATGTATTGTAGCATTTTTAAATTCTCTTCTCATTTTGCATGTTTGCTTGTTTGCATGTTTGTTTGTTTGTTTGTTTGCATGTTTGTTTGTTTGTTTGTTTGTTTGTTTGTTTGTTTGTTTGTTTGTTTGTTTGTTTCTTTCTTTCTTTCTTTCTTTCTTTCTTTCTTTCTTTCTTTCTTTCTTTCTTTCTTTCTTTCTTTCTTTCACAAAACAAAACTGTAATTCTTTCAATTGTTTTTTTTTTTTTTTTTTACAGATTCTGGCCCATAACATTCTTGTGGTCTTTGCTACCAAGTACCCCAACGACTTCACCCCTGAGGTCCATATGGCTGTGGATAAATTCTTGGCTGCTCTGGCCCGTGCCCTCGCCGAGAAATACCGATAAATTGCACAGTTGGAGAAGACAGTAGACAGCAGACAACTGCCTCCATGTCTGAATATGAATAAAAGACCAAATGCAGTAAAAGTGTCATTTTTGGGGCCTTTGTCTCAATTTGTGTGTCTGAGGCTACAGCTTTTCAGTTTGAGACTGATATTTTTAGAAGAGACAGAACCTGTTTCAAAGGAAGCTCATATCCACTTCCACCGATTGAGATAAGATTTTTTTGTACTTTTTTAGTAAATCAAAGAGAAATGGTTGCCTTATGTTGTACATATAGGGTATTCCAGGAAAGATCTAAAAAAAATAAAAACAAAAATGGTAGTGACATGCAATTTTATCTATCAGTCTACAATGTGTTTGTTCATTAAATTTAACGCAAGTTTTGTAATGTATGTTAGAGAAGAAACATGTCATTAGGGATTAATCTAAAGTCTTTTTGAATTCTAGAGATCTCTCCGATGCTTCCTGCATCCAAAAGTCTCAATTTTATGATGTTTTTGTTTTAATTTAGACTAAAGTTTACCTAGAGAAACCTTTACCAGGCATGTTAGAACAAGATCGTACTAAGACATTTTTTTGCACAAGTGTGTCAGGTTTACATGCATCTCGTGATTTCTGACCTGTGACTCTCTTCTATATTGTTTATAACTAAAACTTTTAACTAAGGTGTTCGTATCGGTGTTATATGACCTTTATAAGCTGTTCTATTTACTTCTTTGCTACGTTCTGTTTTTATATGTTATTCTCATAGTCTGAGTTCCAATATAGCACGTTTTAATGAAGAAACAAAAGTCTAAATCTTATATTCACAAGAAATTAGATCAGTGTTCTTTATTCAAGATGCATTTATTGATCCTCCATACACTCTGGGCTATCAGTCAGGCCAATATTCTACCTGCCTTAACTACTAACAATTTTTTCTGATGGCTTAAGGAAATTTTTGTAACTATTGCTTATTTTTACATAACGAAAACCTTTCACATAATCAGCACAACATTGCAGTTCTCTC